TTGCGCAGTACTGCGCTTCCCAGTTCTACATTTAGCGCACTGATTGATATTCGCTGTTCCCATCTATAACAAAGCATGTATTTTAAATTTAAATATTTTATGGTTATGAAAAAGCGTCCCCTGTACCATCGTCTGCTGCGCATTTCAAAACTGGTGCTGAAAAAATCATGCGAGCAACGAATAACGTAGGCGTCATCAAACAATGACGTAAAAACGTTCCTCAGAATTTTTTTTACTGTTTTTTACCAAAATCGCCTAGAAAACCAGTTTGGAGACTGGGCGTTAATAAATGTCATTAGAATGTTTTTTCTCGAGGGGTGCAGCTCCGTCAGGCCTCCGGATCTACATGCTTCTTTCGGTTCCAGGGAAAGTATAGTTGCAAAGCTGACTTCTAAAGAAACTAAAGGAAAGGTACCACTGGGAATGGAGTCAGCGGCCTAAATTTGACCTAAGACGGGAAAACTCACCTGGCCCGGGCACCGTGAGGATTGGCATACTGACACCCCCTATCCGTATATTGTATGTGCATCGCTTCTTTAAAAGCAGCCTCAGTGTCGGTTATTTCCTTGCAGGTTCAGCTCATTACCTGGCTGTCGGCAAGACAACACTCCCACTTGTCGGTTTTACTTTCTCGCATAATCCTAGGGAGACACGATGTCTGGGCCACGTGCGTTTTTTCGAAAAAAAGGCAAAGTAAACCGCAAACATAAAATTAATATAAAATAAACAAAAAATTACCCAGTTCCATGTTCGGCAACATATCGTAAGGGAATTCGAACAGAAGCAAGTGCGCCCTCAAGTTTGCTAAACGATGTTCCACTGCTAGGCATTGCTTTAACGGCTGTTTTTAAGCAGTTTATAAAATAAGACAAATAACATTCGCCAGGCGAATCAGTGCCTTGCCACATCTCGAATTTGCCATTTTTCGCACGCACTTCCACATTTTCCTAAAATTTTGGAATAAACTAATAAAAGTGAGCGAAATCCCAAGACTCTTTGGGCAGTCGGCTGATGTTACTAGGATGCCTCGCGCACTAGGCACAACTATGTCAAATCCAAATCCAGTACTACCTTCATTTAAAGACTTATCAATAGACGCTAGGTAAAATACCTAAATAAATTTTAAAATAGAAATTCAAAGAAACTAATGGCATTTCATCATTTGCGCTTTCTGATGTAAATAAAATATGTCGAACTGATACTCATATTTTTGACGCTCTTACTATTAGAGCTCCAAAATTTTTAAACAAAGTGCTTTCTGCGTTTTAGGCATGAATTTAACGATCAAAAATATTTCACTTTCTAAATGAAAAATTAAAAAAAAAACAACAGGGAATTCATTTCAGGAAAAATTTGAATTCCCAGTTCCCTTATAAGCTTTCAAGTACCAAAAGACAAATTACGGTGGACTATTCTGATAAATTATGAAATTTGATGCCTGAAGTAACCCTAAGACAAGAGAAGAGTGTCATCCTACAACCCAGAATGTGATATTTTATCAGGTTTTGAACGATTCAAAAACTATGTGTGCCTTCAGCGTTTCAATGTCTCAAAATATTTCCCCAATTCAGTGAATATTTTTTCGATAAAAATATCCACATACTTTTGAAAATGCAGCTAAAGTGGCGGCCGCAACGAAATTCTTCGCTTCAGCGTCATCCCAGGATGGAAAAATTCCTTCCAAAACAATAACGTCATTGACAAGAAGTGCTGATTTGCCATCTTCGGCGCTCTTCACTTCCCACTTGTATTTCAGACGTGATGTCAGCTGATTGAGCTGCTTCAGCGGATCAGCGCCTTTCTCAAGAATGCTTAGCTGCGCTTTCAACATTGAAACACCCTGCAAAAAATGTTGCATTTTTTACATCTTTTCAAAAAAATCGCATAAATTTTGTTGTTTCTATCACTAACCTTTCTCTTCGCTGCACATGGCGAATTTTCAGCAATATCATCAAAACTATTCTTCTCCAATTTTGGCTTCTTGGAGGTGGACGGTTCATGATCAAAAGGTCGCTTACGATCCTGCAAATCTAAATTCGTAATTTTCTGCTGAAAAAAAAATTTTAAACACTACAATGTTTAAGGCGCATTTATTATATTTTCAGAATCCCTCTTCCAATAAGTATATTTCCTACAGGATGTTGCAAATACAGCGTTCTGCAAATGTATATGGTTCTAGAGAAATCGAATTCCTGATCTTCACTATTTCCTAGTCCTTCGAATGACCTGGTAACCACCAGACTACTGGCCCTGTGCTTCATTTCTAACATTCGAGTACATGGATCTACATGTGTGGTATGGCTCCCAAATTCTTGTACACACCGTATTGTTCAGCAGTGCTGACACAAAAGTCGCGAATTTCTCAGTTTTTGCCGGTTTTTCGAGAATATCTACGTTATAAGAACTGAACTCGGAGCTGTAATCTCCAACTATTAATTGAACCTGGGCAGAAAAACGTCGCTGAAAAATGATTCTTGACCAATTAGCTGTGGCCTAACCAATTTTTTCATCCGTTTAAACAATATCAGAAAAAAAGAAAAATTGTTGTATACAACAGCTCGAAATATTTCGAGTGCCAGTTCAATTTTAAAAAGTCAAATCAAGTCAAAATTCCCTCTGCATTCACTTTTTCTGAGAGACAAAAGCACTAGATAGTGGGCGAAGTGATAGTACGTGCCAACAGGAACCGTTTTCTAGCAAACTTTTGATGGTCCCTTCTTTCCAGAAAAGCTTAGAAGCATACTTATGGGGAATCTGACTCCATGACATAGACCAGTATCAATTTATCAGTAAAACAAGCTTAGTGATTCCGCCAGCTGAGTAAAACCTTCGACCTTCACGATTCATTATTTTATAAAAACATTTGCATTTTCTTTTCCAAGATTAGCAAAAGAATCGCAAGAACATGTGGCAGCCAGGTGCAGGAAAACTTTATGAGAACAACAGAAAAAGTGGAAAACGAAAATGGCAGATTTTTCTTCGGAAAATTTATTTCGATGGATAGAATATTTCTTCGTCCTTCGAAATAATTTTGCAAAAGACTTTTGTACTACTGAAATACACATGCCCACCCATCACTCCCCCTCCCCCCCTCCTCCCGCCCCTTTCCTCCTCAGAACAGTCCTCTTTACAATAGGAACATTACGATGGTTGAGGTAACATCGTTACAACGAAAACTACTCACCTTCAACACTTCTTCGCATATTCCAGTGCCCATCTCTTTCACTTTATTCATCAAATCCTCATTATACCTGCAAAGCTATAAATTATTTCATTGAAAAAAAGGGGTTTCGAACCAAAAGAATGAGTTTGGTGGTACTGATAGTGATTATGATAAAGAGTGGATGATGAAAACTGACTGG